GGAAAAAGTCAGGAGGAGACAACCACAGGGAACAGCCTCATCATCCTGCGAGTCCTCCCAGCCTAGGTACAAGAGGCAGAGTAAGTAAGATTCAGCATGGCTCCAGCCTCTAGCTGTCTTCATCACTCTTGGCCTCAGAGCAGACAGCAGCTACCCCTGCAGAGCCCTATCCTAACGCCTGCTGTGGAATTCTACAGCCCTCTCTAATGCCTCTGAGTTTGGGGTTCGCACACTAACCATGGCAGCTTACAGCCTCCAAAACCATATGCAGGTTGGTACGGGAACCAGGCACAGCACGACTGGCCCCATCTCTAAGAAGCACTCTGCACAGGGACTGGAACTGAGGAAGGGGAGTCAGGTGGGCTGCATAGGGGAGATGAGGCAGCAACAGAGGAGAGGGCAGGAAGGAAGGCAAGGGATATACCAAAGGTACTTACTAGCAGATGAATGTGGCAGAGAGAGAAGTTGGGGTGTCCAAGGGCCTTGACCTAAGCTAAGGTGGGAAAGGGAGCTGTAAAGGGCAGTGGGGTCTCAGTCATGGACTTGAGAAGACAGGAAAGTATGGGCTGGGTCAGGTACTGAAGTTCAGGAGATCTTGGGCTATCGGTGGCCCCTGAGAGCAGGAAGGGAAAGGCTCTTGATGACATTGCCAAGGAGGATCAGGCAGGAAGGAGCACTGCCTGAGCACCCTGGATGAGTCTCTGCAGGACAATGATAAGCAGCTTCTCATATGCAACAGGGGGCCAGGGATCTCCTGGTGGAACAGGGACAGGACCAGGGATTCATGACAGCTTGGGGCAGCACCCAGAAGAGGCTTCACGGGGAAGTAATGGAAGACCAGAAAGAGGCACTGAGAAATGTTAGCTCAGGATGCTGGAGTTCTTTTTACAAAGGAACTTTTAGGATGAAAATGACTGCAATCTGGCCTGAGGGTCAGAAGCGGGAAAGAGGGAATAAAAGCACTAGAGGGGTTGGGAGGGAACACAGGCTGGGACAGAAGCTGCTGAAAACCAGGGGTGCTCCAGCCTGGAATTGGCTCCATGCAGAGCAACGTTACTAGATTACACGAGCAAGGTTACTAGTGAGAAGGATTGGGTGATGAAAAGACAGAAGAGAGAACAGGGGAGGCTCTCCAGCCCCTCTACCATATGGGGTCCCTGCTACCTTAGAATCCTAATGCCTGAGCATGGGCTCCACAACTTGGCAGCATCAGACCCAGCAAGAACCAGGAAGGCTCCTGTCCTAACTCGGCCCATCATAGCACAGAACACATATGCCCATGATCTCAGACAGAAGGTACAGCTCACACTCAGGGGCTTTGCACAGATTAAGGACATATGTTGAGAGCACAGGATATGGGGTATGCTGCATTCTGTAAAATAGAAATCTCCTTGACTCCCACACAGTAAGGAACGACAGGACCCTCATAGCAGAAGGCCCCCAATATACTTTAGACAGTTGTGGGGGCTCAGATAAGACTTACCTAGTCCCCATGTTAAGAAGGCCTGGCCTGCTTCCTTAGGCTAGAGGGCTTTCCATACCCAGGATGGAAGATCAGCCTCTGCTTTCATCAACACCAGCCCCTGGCCTGCTGGGTCTCCATGGGTCTTAACATTAGGAAGCTGCAAGGCTAAGAGATCCCAGGCCAGTCCTCTCACATCTAGGCTTCTCTCATCTAGGAGGAATTCTCAGGCATCCATAGCAGGGGCAGGAGGGAAGAAGGCCTCCATAGAAGAGGGCTCCCCAGAGCCCACACCTCCTGCAATGGCTCTTTCTAGGTGGCTTTTCTTTTCTTTTTTTTTTACCAGACACATGACTGCCATGGCATTTTTCCACCTTTTGATTGGCAAAAGTCTTCATACTCGTTTCCTCCCAATAAGAAGGTTTGTGCCAGTATACCCACTATACAGATAAACTGAGGAAAACTGTTCAGATGGCACTGTGAGACTGGGCCTGGGACCCGAATCAGATACCTACTTCCTCTATGCAGACAGGAAATAAAAGAGCCCTATCGGGTAGGTCCCCTCCCCAGGGCCATGGAAGGCTTCCTGGGATCCTACATGGTTGGGCCTGAAGCAAGGGCTTCACTCCCCAGCTTCAGGCTCAGGGGAAACAAGCCATACCAGATCCAGGGTCCTGTTATTATCCAAATACTACCTGTTGGCTCTGCCCCTGCTATCAATGCGTTCATGAAGACAGCTCAAAATCTGGTCCAAGATCTGAATGGGCAGGGTTGGAGATGGGGGCAGGAGAGGCAGGGATGCCAAATCCCAGGCTCCCCTTAGAGCAACAGCCTCCCTACCCCTTCTTCCAACTGGCTCCAATAGCCTTGCACTCAAGGGCCTGCAGGCCTTGAGTCTGTAGCACGTATGCACTTTCTGGGTGAGTTCCACTCAGTGCCAAGGGCTTTCCGCTAATATTTGTGGCATGTCCACTATCTAGTTTTGTTTTGTTTTGTTTTGTTTTTTTCTAATTGCAATTTGACAGTTTCACACATTGTCCAACAAGGGCTCCAGGCAGGGACTCTGAATCTGCACGCATGCTGCCTGGCTTCGGTGGCTCCAGAAATCTCGGTGCAAGCCTCCACGACCGAGTAACTCTTGCATTTTGCTTGCCTGCAAACCAGTGTCACGTGGATGACATGGCCATGTTCTGTACCCGCTTAAGAGGCTGCACTGCTTGCACCACAGATACAGCAGCCATTTATCTCTCTTACAGGATGACTCTGGAGAGCCAAGAATGGAAGGGATATTAGGGGCAGACATGGTTCCCATCAGATCCCATGGACTCAGCTCTCTACAGTCCCTAAAAGCACCCAGACCATCGACACCTTGGGAACCTGGGTTTACATGGCTACCCACTCCAAGTGCCTCTCGTGTCCTCCAGGAGCCTTGGAATCTGCATGGTTTTATGTCTTCAGAAGTCACCCAGGTAAAACTAGGGCCCAAGAGCCTTTGGAGGACTTGCCTCACTGCGGGGAAAGCAGACAGAAGGACACCAGCCTTGTTGGCCGCTGTGACATTCACTTCCAACCTGTCTAACAATCACTCCATAGCCAGTCCCCTCTGTACTGGACACCTGCAGAGGTCACTCCCAATCTAAAAGGCATGGGTCCCTGCCTCCTCCCTCGCTGAGCCTGGAGAGCTGTTAAGTCACCAGGACCAGCTGTAAACTAGAGGGAGACAATAAGGCTAATGACATTTGTGTTTTGTTTTCTTTCATTTTCAAAGACCGGAGGCAGTGAGTGATGTGGGGGAAACATCACTCACAGCAGATGTCTCAAAAAATGACAGCTCTAGTCCCGCTGACCTTCCACCTAGCACCTGGTGAGTGCTGGCATGAGATTCTGTGTCTTATGCAGAGACACCTCAGATCAGAAGCCCATGCTGTCTCCATGAGCTGCCCACTGTCCACTTGAGGACCCCACTAAGCCTCAAAACTGTAGAGTCCTGAGTGGGCTGAGCTCACACCTGGTCTGCAGCCAGGTCTACAAGCCAGATTCTGTATCAATGCAGGGTCTCGCCTCTCTCACTAGGCTACTGCAGAGATCTCTAGAAAAGCCTTCTATTCTGCCGTATGCACCATACCAAACCAGAGAGCATGCCACAGCACCAGGCTGCCCATGAGGTAGGAAGCGCTTGTGTCAAGGAGAGACTGAAAATGGAAGCTGTCTAGGCCTCCACCTGTGGAACTGCATCCTATGAGGTTTGGGTCAGGTACTGCCCATCCCAAGCAGCCTGGACCACATTTATCTTGGGAATAAATGCAATCCTACTGGCAGCATGAGCTTCTGTTCCAAGTTCCCTCGCTGGACCTGACTGTACAGCTCTGCTATGAATATCTTGCCATACTCCAACAGACAGGCCAGGGTTGTTCTCGGAACTTCCTAAGGGATTCAAGTTTGAGAGCTATAGAGGCCTCTGATTTGCCTCTCTGGTCTCCTGGGATCCTGGACCCACATGGGTTTCTCTGGGAAAATGTTCTCTGCCGCGCCAACAGACAGACAAAAACACCCATGTGTGCTCTTTTGTTCCCTGCATCACCTGCACAGCTTCCACATGAGGGCAAGACTAGGGTGTGGGCATCACACTGGGAGGGGGCAGTTCCTAACGGGGTTCAGAAAGCACCAGGTGGAGGTCCTGAGAAATAGGCATTTCTCTACCAAGCTAAAGTAGGAGACACAGCAGAGGCAAAGCTGAGCTGAGCCCAAAGAAAGGGTCCAAGATAAAGGGGCTGGAGCCTGGCCCTCCCTGGAAAGTGGAGAAATGATAGTCCTTAGCTGGGGCCTTAGACTCAGGAGAGATATCCGTGTCCCTGTTTTCTTAAAGAACCACTCCTGGCAGCCCCTGGGTGCTCCTGAGCAGGTTCCAACATTCCTGCAGCAGACACAGCCCAGAGGAGGGAAGTCTCAGAGCTATAGGCAACGGTCAGGTCTCCCCCAGCCCAGCTACTGTGCTCTCCACTTCCTCGTGGGGAGGGGCACGTTTAACACTCATACACCCACACTGTGTGCCTCTCAGAAGATGGCACACTCAGCAGCTGCACAGAGTCGCTGTGGGCTCTACAGAGACAGCCTGCCAGCAGGTACCACACATAAGCAAACCTTACAAAATTAGAACAGGCAGCACCCAGTCCTACACCCACAGCGGCCGTCGACAGCGCACCTGCCACCTGCTGGCCGCACCATCAAATTGCAGGCTCAGTTCCTGTTGACTACCGGAAGGCCACCCACTGGGAACCACATGTCAGGCACTCAGCCTCCTCCTTAGAGCCAACCTGGGCATCCCCACACACACACTTACGAGCCCAGGCTGTGCAGAACACCTTGTCCTATCACCAGGATCCCAAGACTCCTAGGAGAGTCAATCAGCACTGCAAGGCCAGATGTAATTCCTGTCACGAGGAGAAGGGTGAGAGCCTACAACAGGCTGGCTCTTTGAGCCCTGAAGGTCTTGATAGCCCCCATGGTAGCGTTGAGAGTCACCACATGCACGTCTCACCACCAGCTGTCGGACGGCCTCCTCGTGGAGTTGGATGGCTTCCAGGTCCTCCTTAGTCATCTGCTCCTGGCCCTGCCACCTGCTGTCACTTCCATTAAGGTGCTTCAGGCTATCAGCCAGGCCTGCAAACGGGGGCTCAGGTTATGACCATTCCATACCCTGGAGGTCTTCTTCCCTCGACCCAGTTGGGCCACCTATGTCCTGAGGCCTTGTCCTGGGATGTTGAAAGCCTGGGAAAGCCTTGGCTCAGAAGAGCATGCTCCAGGGAGAAGAGGCCGTAGGTTGCTATGTAAGGTAGGCAGGAGTGAGGGTTAGTGGCCCCTGGTCACCTGTCCTGTGGTGTGTACGTATCCTCTCCTCAGGCATGAGGAGACTACAGCAGGTTTGCAATCCATGCTTGTATACAAAGCTGCCATGTGCTGGACCATAGCAAGTCTAGGGGGTAGAACCCTGACCCCGGGAACAATACTCTGTGTGTCTAGCTTTTTGGGGTCTTAGGCCTCTTTGTGAGTCCCAAAGTCATGCCTGTGAAACAAACCAAAGTCCACTGTCTCACTGAAGGCTGCAGACCCACCACAGGCCCAGCTATAGGCAGAGTCTGTGAAGCCAGACTCCAGGAAAAATAATTAGCCACCTGACACCATCAAGTCAAGGCCCAAACACCACCCTGGGGAGCCTGAGGATGAGCTCCGGGTGAATGAGCTGAGGATGGGGAACTTGGGGGAGGGGGATTTGCAGTTTAATTTTTCCTTTATTTCTTTAATTCACCAAATGTTTTAACACAATAAATTATATTTCTCCAATTAACCCCATTTGCTCTCTGATGGGACAATCTGGACACAATTCCAGAGCCTTCTGTGGCAGTGGCTCCAGAGAGACAGTCACTGAACATCCATCTGGTCCCCAAGCACTGGTCAGGCTGGGAGGAGTTTCAGAGGGAGGGACTCCATGCCAACACTGAGATGCAGCTCAGCCCCAGCACTACAATCATCTCCAAGGACCCTGGACTCAGCCTCCCCAGTCATCTACAGAAGGCATGCTCAAGGTCCTCTCTCCATCTCTGGAAGCCTTCTCTTTAAAACATATGGCCAAGGCAGCTTGCACCTCTCCCTTGGCACCAGAGTCCTAAAGCAGGAGTATGGCTGTGACATGGCTAGTTTCTCTGGGACCTGGATTGAAAGATGGCTGGACCTTGTCTCCAGTGTCATTCTGGACCAGGGTCTAAGGAACAATGAATGGGTATGAGCTAGAATAGAAGGGCAGGGGAGAGTCTGGACTCCAGCTCGGCCCAGCTTATTTGGGGTAGAACCTATCCTGGGTAGGCACATGAAGCTAGGACAGCTGTGTGCTCCTTCACCTCTATCTAGGGACAGACAGTGGGGTCCCATGGCTCTGCCTGGGAGAGTTGGTGGTGATGGAGGAAGAATATCTCCTTATGAGGGAGAAGGCAAGAGGCCAGGTGCTTTTTCTCAGGACCCACAAAGTAAGCATAGCCATTGCACTTGGAGTGACGGTGAAGCCACCCTCACTCAGGTCTCCTTCCTAAGCCAACGTCCTTCCCACGCATCATGGGAACACAAGGAAGTCAGCAGAGGCCTTTAAATAAACAAATATGTGGATAGATGAATGTAAAATAAAAGATCTAAAAATCTGTTGACAAGCGCTCTCATCCAAGGCAGTAATTATCGCCTCCCTTCCCTGTGGGTGGGAGGAAGTGAGCAGGGCCTGAGGGTGGGGGAGGCCCTGGCCCTGAGCCAGACCTCACTCTACCCTCCCCACCCGCCACGCCTCTGCAGTCTCCGAAGCTTATAGGCTCATGGAAAGGACTCTGGCAAGGGTTCTGCCCCAGCATAGCACCTGCTGTGAGATACAAGCATGGCACCCCACATTATCTGGGCCTCAGTGCACCCACCTGTCAACTGAGAATGACCGACGCTGTGCTACAACACCCCAACCTGTGATCTGAGTTTACTCTGTGGTCCCACCTACCTGCAGAGCACTGGGTACCTGGTTCCCAGGGGACCCGCCTGCCTAAGAAGAGGCAGAGAGAGTTTTAGCATCTGTGACATTGAGCTGCTACCGTCTTTGTCCCTTGAAAACAAGATGCACAATTAAGGGCCAGTGCATAACAAAGACACTGAGAAATATCACTACCAGTTCTGAGAGAGGACACTATAAAGACTTGTCCCCTGTAAGTCATGGGACACCCATAGACTATCAGGCCCTAAAACCAGCCATGCACAGGCCCGTTTCACCTGCCTCTGTGTCACTGTCCTGACACATCTTGCCAGGCTTATGGCACTTCCTCATGAGCCTGTGCATAACCTGCAGATGTTCTAACAGCTGGCCGAGCCCAGAAGAGAGAGCTGGAAGAAACTGGATCCAATCTCATGACCAGATGCCGTGGACCAGTTAGCACCGAGTCAGATCTCCTGGGGAAAGAATGCCAGAGAACACTCAGTGGGACATAACCTGGGGGTTGAGTCTCAGAGGACATCTCTCTGCAAGCTGAAGGCAGAGGGGGCCAGACTTCTCATGTATGCTGCTAGGAACTTGTGCCTTTAATGGCTGCCCCACTGAGGGCACAGAGAGGGGGTGTGGGGCTGAGTTTGCAGGAGGGGGAAACACTTTAACCATGCCGGTGAAACCCTATAAGGGCCTCCTTCACCTCCGTACAGGTTCACCTTCCTTAGCATACATGACAAAGGACAGGGCTAAAGAAACAGTTTAGCAGATCTCCCAGCCTCCTGAAAGGAAGACAAAGCTCTTCTTTATGCTGCCTACAAAGGCTCAATTTGGGTCTTTAGCTCTGATGCCCAGATTAAGGATTTGCTTGCCAGGTGCTGGGGTACAGAGTGGGCCTGTGATGGCTTTCCAGCTAGGGAAAAGCTGACAAAGGCAGCTTTCTCACCCCTAGCCATGGCTTGAACACACAGAGACTTAGAAATAAACAGATCCTGCTGTGGGACCACTGAAGAAAGGGCTAGGTTTCCCATGAGAAGACACAAAGTTGGGACGGGCATCTTTGGAGACTATGATACTGGCTGACCCAGCCCTCCTCCTGCTGAGGGAGAAGGAGCTGGGAAGTTCAGACCTAGACAATGTTTGGAGCTCAGGCTCTGGGAAATTAGGCATTTTCTCACGTCCTCCAATCCCAGCTAAGAGTGGGATCAGGAAAGGCACCCAACATCTGGTGTTCAGCTTCTCCAAATGGCATGGAGACGAAGGATGACTTTGCCCTGTGCCCCAAATATGGTAGCACGACAAGTGACTTCTAGCTAGCATGTAGAAATAAAGATGTATGATTCCTGTGGTCCACGCATACACACACAACAAAAAGAAAGGAAGGAAGGAAGGGAGGGAGGGAGGGAGGGAGGGAGGGAGGAAGGAAGGAAGGAAGGAAGGAAGGAAGGAAGGAAGGAAGGAAGGAAAGAAAACAGCCATTCTTTTATGTCACCCAGTGGTGTTACAAAGGCAGATAGCATGATCCCCAAGGCTCGTCCCCAAAACCAAACCATCAACTCTGCCTGGGGCCAGACTGTCCAGACCAGGAGCCACACGCTGTCGGAGACTGCATGGGGGTCCTAGCAGCCATGGCTCATCCTCAGGACTGCTCCAAACCTTCATATTGTCTGAACCCAGCATGGATGATGTCTCTGCCTCACCAGAGATGAGCAGTGCCCAGACACATGTGGTGTTACCAGGATCATACCATGACTTTCAGCGAATGCACACATGCTTTTCCTTGGGGCAGGATTTCAGGGCCACAGTAAACAATGTTCACCTTCAGCTGACCCTCCTAACACTCTAGATCAGGGTACAAATTCACACCCTGTCCCCACTGCCCCTCTTTACATCTACCAGCGCCAGGTTCTGGTATTTTTATTCGAGTTCTTGTAATTATTTGGGTTATGTGACCAACACTATGATGGTCCTCTACCTTAAAAAAAAAAAAAAAAAAAAAAAAAAAAAGAGACAGAGCATCACTCTGTAGTCCAGGCTGGCCTAAAACTATATAACCTACACTGGTCTTGAATTCATGATGATCTAGTGCCTCAACCTCCTGAGCGCTAGGATTACAGGATTGAAGGTACAACAAGCTCCCTTTACTTTTTCTAGTAGCCACGCTGGTTGAGTACACGTTCACTGTTCATTATTCATTTGGAAATACTCTTTGGGAACATCTCCACGCTGATTGATAAGAGATCTTCATGAATGTTGGCAGAGTACTTGTCATAACGCTATGCAAAAGCTCTCTAACTCTGGGCAGCTTCTACTCTCTTGCCGGTGTATTAGTTTTGATAAAGCCATCAGTCTTCATCCCCATGGTCTGTGTCCTTCCGCTGTGGAGTTGGAAAGTACTTCCTGCTTGTAGGGGTGTCTCTGCTTTGCCTCTCTCGTGACAGCTAGGGTTTCAGAGGGAATGTTTCTATTCATTTAAGGATCTTTGTCAGACTCAACTAAGCTGGCATCCAGCTCTGAGTAAGCATCAAGTTCTCCCAGGGCAGCTACCTCCTCAGGCTACCTCCACCAGCCGGCACACACCTGGGCTGCATCTGGACCATCCAAAAGCAACCTGTGTACCTCACAGACTCCACACCACCAGTTTGGCTGATGTCTGTGGTAGGTATGAACAAATTCCTCAGTGCTGAAATCTTATCTTCACTACCCTATGTCTCTTCCATTTACAGACAAATACACACACACACAAAGCAGCTGGCACAAATATGGCACCCTCATTCCTCATACCTTCTCTGCTTTCTTAGCAATGATAGGTGAGTTTCCAAGTACAGGCTGGAAGCATCCATCTTGGCTCTCTTCCTCCATTTGATGCCATGCTCACGCAGTTACTTCTTTCTTCTTTTTCAAGACAGGGTGTCTCTATGCTACCCTGCCTGGCCTCATTTCCTGGGCTCAGATGATCATCCGGTAACTGGAATCACAGGTACATGCTGCCATACCAACTCAGAGTGACACTAATTCCTACATGCCATTTTCAAGCTCACTGTCTTCTTAGAGGCTGACCTGGAATAGGTGATCTTATTTGGAAGCATATTATGAGTTCTAATGTCCCCGCAGTGACACTCAGTGTCAGTGTCGCAACCATGCTATCCCTGGTCCCCACCTGTGGTCTCCTCATCATACCTGCTGCAAAGCCCCATGAGATGGCAAAGGAGGAGACAAGACCCCATGCTCTGCCCTCAATCTCAAGAGACTGTTTCCCTGGCATGTGTGGTGCCTGCGGAAAGCTTGCAAAGACACCTTTGTAGGTCAAGGTCATTCCCTTTATGGGGCTGGGTTTTCTCTTGAGTTTTCTCCTCTATCTGTGGTGAGGACCTTGTGGGTTTCCTCACATTACACTGACTGCCTCTGAGTGCAAACACCTTGCTTTCTGTGGCCTCCATCGTAATGACTTTGCAAAGAGACCCTTTATCAGAGGCCACTCTGATTCCACTCTGGCCATTCAGCCCCGGAACTGAGCTTGATATGTTGCTTTTCTTTACAAGGTACCCACCCTTTAGAAAGCAGGTTAAGACCATGTGGACACCCGTCAGTCCTGCACAGAACACAGAACCACCTATGGCTGCCTCTTAGATGATTCCCCATGTTCCACTGTCCAGCAGAGCTTTGAAAACCTAACCACCATGGAGCGCCTACCTCACCTCTCCTGCCCTTTCCCAAGGCACAAACAACAGCAGGTTCAGGGTTGTCCCCAAGGCTCCAGATACAGTCAAAACTTGGTCCCTTACCTGCTTGCTCACCCGCTGCATCCTGGAAAACAGTGCTCTGGATTTTTCTGCAATCCTCTGTTGGGGAAAAAAAAAAAGAAAAAGAAAGCACAAAATGGAAATATGGGAGAATATAAAAGGAGAGAAAGATGGCCTGACACCAGGCAGCACCCAATATACACTTACGCTGTCTGCTCCCACTGACAGGTTGCCTCTTAGGGAACTACTGGATAGCCTCCATTAATCCGTATCATCTCCCCTGTGTCTCAGTTTCCCTGCTGCTCATCCATGATAATCCCCGCTCTTCCAGACTTCCGGGAGTTGCTGGGAGGCCACCTCTGGGAAGCACTTGTGAGAACAAGTCCTTCCTAGGACATACCCTGAAGATGTGCCCGTGAGATCCTGGTACCTGTACAATGTGCCTTGGGAATACCTGTTCTTCTACCCTGGTGATGAGGCTACGCTAAACAAACCTAGAACAAGACAGTTGGGGAGGGGTGTTCAAGGAAAGGAGTAATAACACCATCCCTCTCAGCCTCTCACCTTCTGCACCACTCCATAGCTGAATGGCCTCTGAGAGTTGGGTTTTCAGCCAGTCCAGCGGATGGTGGTCTTTCTTACAGCACCCTTGTCCGGCCTGGCCCCAGGACCAGGGTTTTGGTTCTCAGAGATCCCTGTGCCTACTTCATCCCCCACAGAATCATACCCCCTCCTCCATGTGTCCTCACACCCTCTGCCCTGCTCCCTAAGCCCATCACAGTTTATATCTTCAGTCAGTCTCTCTGTGGGCACCAAAACCACAGGAGCTCTCTCCAGTGTGTTCTGTCTCCGCAACCCATACTGTCTGGACATTCTCCCAGGAGCATACCCACATGTGCAGGTTCCATCCTTACTTCATACTTGCGCTGACTGAGCCACTCCCACACAGGGAGGTCTCCTTATTTCAACCCCTGCTGCTGCGAACAGTTCCTGCAAGTGTGGGCCACACCACTCATGGTTGGTCGGAACGGGGTGGCAGACATTTCCTGTCAAGGGCAGATGTTTGGTGTTCCAGGCTTTGTGGGCAGTCTGCTCCAGGTACGCGGGAACAGTGGAATCAGCCAGTGAGGCTGAGCAGGGGGCAGGCAGGGGCTGGCAGGCCGCTGTCTATTGCTCCACAGACTGCAGGCTTACAGCAGTTACTTGTGTATCCTGGGCACTCTCCAGTCTCTAGGAGCTCAGCAGACATGCAAGGAAGGGGTAGCAGTAGCCGGGACAGTGTGTGGCAGAGGTCTCTGAAAGCCATCATGTGTTCAGAGCAGTGTTGGAATAACTGTGAGGGTACACACGGAGGCATCGTATAGATGGCAGTAGGTAGAAGGGTAGGAGATTGGAGGCAGGGCAGGATGAGAAGACATTAGTAGCAGAGGCAAGGACCATGAAACTGATGAGAGGATGTTCAGAGCGTCCATCTCCAGGCAGACTAGACTGCCCTCATGCCCACTGTACCATGGGCTCCAGAAGGGCAAGGCCTATCAGTAAGTGTGCTGACCACAAGCTGGGTCCAGCTGTCCTGAGTATCCTTCTGCACATATCAGTACAGTATCTTTCCCATGTAATGTATGCATTCCACCACAGGCACCAGGGAACCCTCTCCTCCTCCCTCTACACTCCTACCTTGAGGCTCACCTCAAGTCCCTGGGGGAAATATACCGGGTAGAAGCCTCGCAGCTCCAACGTTTGCTTCACAGCACTGGTTTTGTTGGTGTCCTGCTGGACTTCATTCCTGGAGTAGAGAAGATAGGAACAGAGGGGTGGGCAGGAAGCTCGGGAATATCCCAGGGTGAGAGAGAAGAACAGGGAGGTTGAGAAAGGGAGATAGGGCAGATTAGTGTGGGGACATGTGCGGATGAAAGGAGCCAAGGACCGTCAGGAGCAGTCCTTGGAAAGACATAGAAGTGAGGGCTGGTACAGCATGGGTGATAAATACATCCCTACAGGACAATTAGGGAGACTGAGGCAAGGACAGGGACCTGGGGGGACAGGCAGTGACTGCACGAAGCAATGGGGGTGGATAAGGATAAGCAGAACAGAGGGAGAGAAACGCACTGCGGGGGGTGGAAGCCACCAATCCACCATGGCCCCAACTCTTGCCCAGACAAATGACTAGACTTTTCTGGTCCTATTGAGGCCAACGACTGTCACACAGAGAGGCCCACCACACCACTCTCCTTGCCTTGTGATAACCTAAACCTAGGCAGAGTTGGGGCCTCTTCTAGAAGGGGACTCAGGTCCTTCCAGCACAAAAGACTTACCTACAACACCATGTGACCTATCCCCTCCAAACATCATGAATCTGCTGCTCAGGGATAAGCCTACATACCTTACCCACACTGCAATCCAGGGCAACCCTGTCCCAGCCTGACCCCAACACACACATAACCCAACAGAAAAGGAGGTCTGACCTGGCAGGAGCCAGAAACCCCCAATTCAGATGTTTCCCTGAAGCCTCTCCTTACAGGCATCAAGTCATAACCCCCTCACTGCAGTGGTCAGCACGTGTACGATGCCAACCCCGGGTCCTCAAAGGCCACCTACCGCAAAGCAGCCTGCCTGATACCACTGATCACTGCAGAACCAGGAAAAGAGGCTCTGACTTTCAGGAAACACAGTCATGGCAGCCTGTATGGGGAGGAGAAAGAAGCAGGAAAGTAAGCAGACAAGCATGAGATAAGGACACTGTGCCACAGGTTACAAAGCAGAGGGTGGGTGGGTAGCAGAGGCTCTCCTGTCACAGATCTGTCACTGACATAGGTGTCACTGACCTACATTCCTGCTACGGCCCAAGCCCATCTGCTTTCCTGGCCAACCTTAAACTGTCAGAGCCAGGATATCCCAAGGACCCTGTCACCAGCCACTCCCTATGAGACCCACCTTCATGATCTCTGGACCTGACATCATCTGAATGTCATCAGCCTATGTTCTGTTCCCAGCTGGCTCTTAACTCCAAGCTAGCCTCTATGGCAGCCTATTGGCAGCTCTGCCCAGGTATCACATTGGCCCCCTTTTGCCACCTCAACCTCTAAAATCCCCATTCTTCTAGTCCTGGCAGCAAAGCCCTGCTCCATCCAGCCTACAACACAACGCATCAGTCAGCGCTGCTGCAGTATGTTTAGGGGAATGCACATACCAACATTTCCCTCACCTCATGTGTCCCCATGTGTCCAGACTATTGTAGTGCCTTCTGGTTATCTACTGTCACTACCTCTCATGCCATCACAGGCGGAGAGGTTTGAGGCATGGCTCTTAGAGGCCAGTTCATGTCCCTCCATCCTTAGCACATAACAGCAATTCCATGTTCCACTCCCAACAAAGCTGAATACCTAACTATGCTCTAGCATCATCGAGGACACTGCTCTACAGCCCCTGGACAGCTAGAGAGGGTAGCAGCAGCCCAGATGTTGCCCCATGGTTCATGCTTCAGATAGAGAGCAGTGGGCAAAGCCCCAGTACAAGTGGCAGGAGCTTCCTACTATACAGACCTCTCTTCTTCTCCTCAGATTCTGTCCCAAACAACAGCGGAAAGGCTGCTGGTGTAACTCTCATCTTTCTGGAACCATCAGCACTAGACTGAAAGCATTCTACTTCTGTGTCCTTTCCAAGATGAGTATCCTCTCCATCTCTCACAGACTGTGGTCATCTCATGACAGAAAAGCAAGCCAACCTCCTTACCCAGCCTGGCATGCCTCGTGCATTAAGTCACTCTGACATGGCCTTGGCAGACAGCAGCCACACAGCCAGTGAACCCAAGAAACAGCCTGGAGAGAGAAAAGGAGTGCATACCACCAGTAATCCCAGCAGCCTAGGAAAGTATTTACAGATTGTCTTCCAGAACCTTCATAGTACTGAAAGGCCCAACCCAGAGACTATGGGCAGCTGATCTGGTCAGCCTGTCTGTAGCCCCAACTACCATCAGAAGCAGAAAGCAGAGTCATGAGGATACGCAGCAGAGAGACTCACAGTGCAGCTGGGACAGCATGGACCAGAAGCCACCACTTGGGGCTCTGGTGTCAGAAAAGACAGGAGGATGAAATGGGTCCCCTGGGAGTCCACATCATGGCCGTGCCTTGGGTCTGTCATCTGCAGACAGTCCTGAGAAAGCCAAAGGAAACCTCCCAGAATAAACAAAAAAACCTCACGGGGCAGCAGTGTATAAACATCAGCCATGTTTCTGAACTGTGGCCAAGACTGGAAAGTGAAGTTTAAACAACACCAGTTGTGACAGTATAGAAACCGTGAAAACAGTCCGAAGAATTAGACATATGTTGCAACATTAACAAGGCATGTCACTGGTAACTACAAGGAATTGCCTAAAGAAAAAACAAAGGAAAGGAAAAGTGGCTCTATAGAGTGTAAGGCAATATTGCTGTGATGTTAATTCTTAAAAGCAACCACAATCCAAAATGTAAAAGTTTTCCTTTTTTTTTTTTTTTAAAGAAGTTAACAAGAGTTCAACTGAAACACAAAAGGTCTGGGCATCTGGAAGAACTTCAGAACCACCTGCAGCTGAGGGCCCACACCAGAATTCAAGTCTCACAGGCCCAGGATGTGCCATAGCGATAGGCTCAGGCAGCTCTCCAAAAGGATGCCAACACAATCAACAGAAAAAGACTTAAAAAAAAAAAAAAAAGAATAATGGGACACCTAATTTTTTTTTTTGTTTCCTTTTGTTTTGTTTAATGAGCTCAGCCTTACCTCACTGCATACACAAGAATAAATTCTGAGTGTGTCAGGCCCAAATGTGAGAGCTGAAAATACGAAAACCGCAAATACATGAGCCATTACTCCATCCCTGCATTACTGTAATGAAGTGCCTGAGGCAGGCTACCTAACAAAGAAGTCTCAACAACATGGCATAGGCCCCCGCGAGGGCCTTCCAGGCTCCATGGCTGAAGCACACATGTACTTCTCCACTCTCCTTCCACAAACCACCAGAATTCCATCACGAGCCTCTGCCCTGGTGACCTGTATTTAACCATCTCCCGAAGGCCTCAGTATGCACCAAGGCTGGACTGAATGCTCACCTTCTCAATGGTTCCTGAGTGAGGGGTAAGACACAAATCATATTCACACCTCAGCAGTAGACAGAACCCTCTGGGAACCTCAACAATGTCAGAAATACGATCCATTTACTAAAGACAAGCCTAGGGTAGGAAAGTCTCCCCTTAGCACCTGACACAGCACTTGCATTGAGAACATAAGAGCTCTAACAAGCCCACACTCACAAGGCAAGAACAAGTAATGACAACAACAGGCAGGAGACTGACATGCACCCAGAGGAGACCATACCACATTGAAATACACACTGAAGCCACAGCTGCCAACACCTGCTGCAGGCTCTGAGGCCAACACAGAGTCCTGAAAATGGCTCAGCTGCTTTGGAAAGCTGGATGGATTCACCTAGAATCTGCTCTCGTTATCTGCTCTACAATTTTGCTTCAGGCAACTCACCCAGAGGGGGAAACACGCAAAAAACCCGTGGAGACAGCACAGCCTTAGCACTAACTGGAATCAGCCCTGGGTCCGTCTCAAGGTGCTGGGTAAAGAGAAAGCGATAAAGCCACACTGCTGAATACTACTTAGCAATAAAAAAGGAAAGGACTCAGCGTGACCACCGTGGGTGAAACATAGCACTGAGTAATCCAGAGAACCCATGACTGTGCATGCCTGTAGGTCACAAGAGACTAGGATCTGGGCAGAGGGTATCGGGTGGGAAGGAACCAGAGGGAGTTTCTGAAAGGAATGAAATACTCAGCATTCACCCAGAGTGACTGCAGGGCCCACACAGTATCAGGCTTACTGAATGCATGCTAACTGGTAGCATGTTTATCGATGGAGCTGATTTACACCCACACTCCCCCTGTCCCCTTCCCCCCACAATCACACACACATGGGTACCAGTGACAGAATGGACAGGCTGAGAGAGCTCTTCCTGTCACTGATGACATCCCAGGCAGAACCAGGTATGCCTTCTGGCACCTCAGCATGGGTGAGGCCGGCTGGGGTATGGTAGCCTCATCTAGAGAGGCCCTCTGACTCCTGTGGTGAAGTCCTGGAACCAAAAGTGCCTGAGGAGGACTGGCAAGACCCATGGTTAACCTACTGTCATACCAAACAAGGCCTGACACCCTAGGATGTCACATCGCTGAGACAAGCGTCACCACAGACTAAGGCACAGGACTGAGACAGGAGGGCAAGGACAGCACTGGTTTTGTGCACAGTGTCTCCCAAGCCTGAGAAAACACTTGGATGCCATCCCTGCCTTGGATGGCATTACCACCTCTGTTCTCATTTTGTAGCTCCAGAAAAAGCCCTTCCTCAGCACCTCAGTTTCCCCAGGTGATGTGGAGGGGGCATGCCTATATCTGTGGCCCCCAGAGTGCCTCCAAAAGCCACAGCTAAATCATCCTCAGACCCTTTCCAGCAGCAGTGAAAGGAGTGGCTTTCTCCTGCACCTGAGCTGTCAGGTGTCTGTGTACTGGCGTGCTCAATGGCAGCAGGCTGCGATATCATGCTCTCGGCTCCGTGGCCCTGAGTAGTGATGGATGAGGGAAGGCCCAGCCTACTGTGGGTGGTGCCATCTCTGGTCTGGTCGTCCTGGCTTCTATAAGAAAGCAGACTGAGCAAGCCATGAGGAGCAGGCCAGTAAGCAGCCCCCTTCCATGGCCTCTGCATCAGCTCCTGACTCCAGGTCTCTGCCCTGTTGGGATTCCTGTCTTGACTTCCTTCAGTGATGAACCATGATGTGGAAGTGTAAGCCAAATAAACCCTTTCCTCCCCAACTTGCTTTTGGTCATGGTGTTTCATCACAGCGACAGAAACCCTAACTAAGCCACCTGGCCACCTGTGAGCCTGACACAGGAATCTTCTCCACTTCCCAGAGAGAGAGAGAGATCTCCACATATACCTTGACCCTGGCTGACCCAGGGCCTGCTGTGGATCCAGCCCAGCCAATGTCAGTTACCTATCAACACTTAGAGTAGTGCCTGAGCCATGGCACCAGGCAAACACTGTGAGATGAGGTTCTAGGATCACAGCTATTTGCCCAGCCAAGTACTTAGGACTCCAACAGCACCCTGGGATGACACTGGGCCACCCACAGCCTGACAGACACTGTCCCTGGCACCACTAAGCTGTGAAGTTACTGATACAACTCTCATGCTCAAATTTGGGAGCCTATGACATGGGGGCCTAGGCTGGGCCCTATGGAGCAGATCCCCCTGCCTGGTACAGGGCGAGGCTGAAAAGCTCAGCATGTGTGTTCCCGGTCAATCTGATATACTGCGTGTGCTCCTCAGAGGTCACTCCTGCCACTGGGGGACTGAAACACTACTTCTACCCTTGAAGTGCACAGTAAAGTTGTCCTCTGACCTTCACAAGCATCCTGTGGCATGCAGGAACACACACACAGTGCACACATACACAAATAATAACAACAACAACAACAACAATAATTTTAAAGCAGGCAGCTCTGTCAACATAGAGATGATAAGGATGTAGCAGTCCTGTGCGTATCTTAAAAATTTAACTCCTAATGGCATTTGTATGATACGCATTCAGCAGATGGGATGACTATCAACTTGCCAGGAGCCTGGTCTGAGAAAGAAACACATTCTAAAAGC